AAAAAAAAAAAAAGAATTTTCTTATTAGGAAAAAAAAAAAGGATAATTAAAATGGTATAATTTTCTTAGGTATTGGTCAAAGTTGTTACTAATAACTGATTATTTTTCTTCCTTTTTTAAACACGGTTTGAAATTTTTATTTTGCGCTCTATTGTGCGGTCAGATCATACAAGCTCTAAGAGTCGTTGATTTACACGTGGTTGTTATAGCAATAGTATAATCAAACTCTAGGGGTCGTTGATTTATATGCATGTGCGACGGTTCCTAGAGATTGATTGTGCTGCCCTTAGTATCGATTATTTTGTTGAAAAGCCTTAATACTAACCATTTTTGCGCATTAAAAGTAGAAAACTACCTTCATAACCTTTCTATATTCTACGAAAGGTGCTATTAGGCTGTCTAACAATTAGATAGTTTTCTAATACATATTTATACTATAAAAATGTCATATTCTTTTTTTATATTGTAATTTAAAGTAATACATTTCAGTACAAAAGTGTATACTTTTATTGGAAATTGATGGTTGTTTAACCATTAGGCAGCCTAACAGTAGAATGTAATATTTTATATTACTAGTTTCATATAAAATTATGAGCTGACGTTTATTGTTAGTTGACATCGAGAATTAATCAAATTAATATGGGGGCTACAATAAATGGGTATAAGATAAAATGTAACGATCAAAATTTATGTGATATAATCAATACTAGTGATTTTCTTGTTAAAAATCTATAGTAATATAAAGAGGTTGTTAGAAAAATACAAAAATAGTATTTTTGACTTGAAAATTAATGTTTTGACTTACTAATTTAAGTAACACCAATGGGCCCTACGCTTTAAAATTAAATTTAAGTAATAAATCTCTCATGACAAAATTAGTTCGGATTTTCTTAACCAATCCATCGGATTCTGTGGGATTATCTAGATTCACAATTTTAATAATTACTACAAAATCTTGAATATCATTAAGTTAAGTAATAAATCTCTCATAGCAAAATTAGTTTGGATTTTCTTAACCAATTCAGCGGATTCTGTGGGCTTTTATATATTCACAATTTTAATAATTACTACAAAATCTTGAAGATCATTAATTTAAGTAATAAATCTCTCATAGCAAAATTAGTTTCGATTTTCTTAACCAATTCAGCGAATTCTGTGGGATTTTATATATTCACAATTTTAATAATTACTACAAAATCTTGAAGATAATGGTCGAAATTGTCTTACCAAAGTTTTAGAATTTTGTTAACTATATTGCTAGGATTTTTAGTATGAATTGTTGTTAACAATTTTCCACGATAACTACAGACTTTTTGAGCAGCTACAAAATTGACGATTTTGACGGCTTTTCAGTTTTCACATTTGTTTGGCTTATTCTTTTTTTTTTTTTTTTT